CGAGACAAGGTTTCTCTGTGTAGCTTTGGAGCCTATCCTGGCACTCCCTCTGGAGACCAGGCTGGCCTCTGCCTCCCGATTACTGGGATTAAAGGCATGTGCCACTAACGCCCGGCGATGTTGCATTATTTTTGAGGGCTGCATAATTTTGCAAACATAAAGGTAGCATATTTGAGGGTTCCTATCATTGGATGTTGTCTGTGTGCATACATTCGCTGATTAAAACGGTGACATTGTGAGCTGTCTTATCCTAAAACATGCTTTGGTTTTCATTTGGCTTTGTCTCAAGTGAGGGCCTAGAAACCTGCCCTGTCACCGCCTTCGCCAAGGGAATTGTTATTACCACTAGTTTCATTCCTGATAGTCTACTGTAAGCTGCTCCAATGAAGATGGTTGCTGTTCTGTTCCGAGGACTATATGCTACAAACACGGTGCTGGAGCACATCATGTCTGCAACTCCAGGGCTCCTATAGAGAGATCAGGAGCAGAGATAGAATTACTAGAAGTTTGCAGTCCAGCAAGCCTGGTGTGTGCTGAAGTGGATGAGAGACCTTGTCTCAAACAAGGTGGAAGGTGAAGACCAGTATGTATATGCGCATGCATGCATGGGCACACGCGCACCTCCCAAAAATCATACACCCCCAACCCAAGATGAAAAAAAAAAAAACAAAAACCCTCACTTATATGTTAGGTTGCTTCCTTAAAACCTTGTATAAAACATCTAATTTGGCTTACTTTGGACTTACAAGCCTTTTAATCCATTCAAAGTAAAAGCATCCACATTCTAAACTTTTGAACTTATTCAAAGTAACAAGCCACAATCTACTCTTGGCAAGTGTGTTTCATCAGTAGGCACTTTGAGAACCAAGTATTACTATCAATGGCTTTCTCTCTGGTACCACTTTTTATTAGTCATAAATTTTAAACTTTATTTTGCATTTTTATGTTTATAAATGACAAAGATCAACATAGAATGGAAACCAACAGACTGAGTGACAAGCAGGCCCATAACCATATAAGAATGAGAAGGGGGGGATGTCAAGAGAATGAGCCAATGATTGAGACCACTAGGAACAGCAAGATCCTTGTCACCTTTGCTGTATCTTCTGGGCTACAGTGTACCCTGTGCCTCATGGGAGAAGTTCTTCCAGAGAGAGGAGCCAATATGATTATTTATTTCCTGTATTAAAACAAATTTAGGGTTTGGCTTCATTTTCTGAAGTCTGGGAAGACTTTATTCTGAAATAGGTGTAATGATGAAAATTGATGAAGTCATGGAAACTTCCAGCGGCTTGGCCATCTGTGATTCTTTTCCCTTTCTTTCTTTCTCTCTCTCTCTCTCTCTCTCTCTCTCTCTCTCTCTCTCTCTCTCTCTCTCTCTCTCTCTCTCTCTCTCTCTCTCTCTCTCTCTCTCTCTCTCTCTCTCTCTTCCTTCTTTCCTTCCTTCCTTCCTTCCTTCCTTCCTTCATTTCTTTCTTTTTTTCTCTCTCTCTCTCTCCTCCCTCCATCCCTCCCTCCATCCCTCCCTTTTTTCTTCCTTCCTTTCTTTTTTATTCTTACCAGGGGACCCAGGAGCCACCTCTGAGAATTTTTCAGCAAATAAACTTACTCATAAATCACGATCACTTCACACCCCCTGCCCACCACTAAATTGATGTCTACAGCTTTCAAATGTGGAAAACGATCCTCCAAGTCACCCTCAACATCAGAACAGGTTTTTGCAGAGGGTCTGATAGGTGTCCCCTTAATGAAGAAAGGAAACCTTTGCAGCCCCACACTGTAAACAAGACAAGACTAATGGAGGGGCCTCCTTTATCATAATTGTCCGGTGCACTTCATTGGATCACGTGCTAAGCAGAGGATTAGAAGGACGTTCACGAGTCCTCTTCTTTGTTTCCCAGTGCCCTCAGAAAAAAATGGTACTACCCAGAAAAATCTTATTTAGTAGCAAAATATATTTTAATGGAAAGTCATCTTTAAGTAATTGAATAAAAACCTGTTCCAGGGACTTTCTCAGCAGACAGCAGAGTATGTACATCTGGTGAGGGTGGAGCAGCATCCCTTTAATATAACTTTTATATAGAAAATGCAAGCATATTTAAACAATGGAAACATGGAAGAAAGGACATCACAAAGAATAACAAAATAGATCACAAAATTAATAAGTCAACTCAAGCTTATAAAACAAACGAGCCCAAGCACCGTGTTGGTCTTCCTTTGTGTGAGTTCCAGGAGCTACCAGGAGGAGATGACCTTGCTTTGGGAGAGGCAGTGGGGGTGGCAGGGGTGTGTTAAAACCCGGTTCTCCTTCTCCTGAAGAAAGAAAACACAACACCAACAGATTCAAGAAGAGAGACGAAACTGAGGTAGGGAGACATTTTGGGATGCTCATGGAGAGGGGGCAGTAAATTTTAACCCAGTAGGCATATCTGTAAAAATACTTATTAAGGGTAAGGGTGGTTCCTCAGGAAAAGGAAGGGGCATGGAAAATTAAAGTATTAGGAAATTTTTTTTAAATCAACTTCCATAGTGTTATTGTAGACAAGAAGCTCAAACATCAACTGGGGAACACACACACACACACACACACACACACACACACACACACACACTCTCTCTCTCTCTCTCTCTCTCTCTCTCTCTCTCTCCCTCCCTCCCTCCCTTCCTTCCTTTTATTATTTTTTGAGACAGAGTTTCACTGCATAGTCCTGGCTGGCCTGGAACTTGCTATGTAGACCAGACTAGCTTGGAATTCATAAAAGTCCTCCTGTCTCTGCCTCTGGAATGCTGGGATTAAAGTTGTGCACCATTATACCCTACCTTGCTAGGACATTTTCAATAAAGTATGTTAATTTCATTATTATTTTATATTTTCTGTTTAAGAATATTATTTTTACCATTTACATAAATTTTTGCTGATTTTTAATATTTATGTATTCATTTAATGTGCAAGTACATGTATGTGTGTGTATGTGCATGTGTGTGTGTGTGTGTGTGGTGTGTGTGTGTGTGTGTGTGTGTGTGTGTGTGTGTGTGTGTGTGTGTGTGTGCCCATGCCACAGCTCACGTGTGAAGGTCAGAGGACAACTAACAGAAATTGACACTGGTCTTCCACCACATGGTCCCAGTAATGAAACTCAGGTGTTCAGTCTTCAGAGAAATCACCTACACCTGCTCATCCATCTCACCAGCCCTGAATTATTTTTTCCCCCGAGACAGGGTTTCTCTGTGTAGCTTTGTAGACCAGGCTGACCTCTAACTCACAGAGATTCACCCATCTCTGCCTCCCGAGTGCTGGGATTAAAGGCATGTGCCACCACCACTGCCTGCTTGAAATTTCTTTCTTTTTTTTTTAAATTTAAATTAGAAACAAGATTGTTTTACATGTCAATTCCCATTCCCTCTCCCTCCCCTCCTCCCCCAACTAACACTCTACCTATCCCATTCCATTTCTGCTCCCCAAGGAGGTTGAGGCCTTCCATGGGGAGGGGTCTTAAGAGTCTGTCATATCCTTTAGGATAGGGCCTAGACCCTCCCCTGTGTGTCTAGACTGAGGAATTTTTTTTTTTAATCATGGAAGAGTCTGCCCCAGGCCTTGGGAGGTTGAGGCAGGAGGATCACAGGTTCCATATACTTCAGCTTTACACAGGGGCCACATCAGTCTCACTGTGGCTCTGGTTTTATAAAGTACATGAGCTGCTGAAGGGAACCCAATACTGCATATTTTTGAGATCTGTTTTCTTCATCTATCCCGACTGCATATTTTCTAGCTTTGGGTTTAGTGAAGGTTTAGAGAGAATACCTAGATATCCTGTGATTAACAAAGTTTACATTACAACTGGAAATATCGTCTGGCTCTTGAACTACTATAGTCCCTGAAATACAGTCCAGGAGTTGTAGCTCAATGTTTGTTTTGGGCTGTCTTACCTGGAGCAATCGTGTCCTGTCCAGGCTGAGAGACAATGGCACCGGTTTGGTCTTATGCATTTCCCACCATTTAAGCAAGGAGACTGGCAAGTAGCTGTGTTGAAAAAAAAAATGCATGAATTCACTTAGTCAGTACTTAGACATTCTAAAGAAGTCACAGAGGCTCATGGGTAAGATTTGTCCTTTCTTTTTCCTGAGATAGGCATGTTACATCCACATGTGGCCTCACCTTCCCTGTCCCCTTCAGAGCTATTTGGGTTTTCATATCAAGTTCCCATGTTAAGTTTCACCACACTAAGATCAGCTTGACCGATGTTAAACTCACTGGGTTGTCTTTTAAAATATTATTATTATTATTATTATTATTATTTTAATATGTGCAACTAGTATGGTACTTTGTTCTGAGCTCTAAGCTTTTCATATACTCAATTTAATTTGTGGCTGTTGGTAGTGGGGGGAGGGCAACAATAAACTCCAAATTGATTGAGTCAGACACCAGCTTACAGGAGAATAAGTCTGCCACACACAGAGCCCAGAACAACACATGGGGCTGGCTGGAGAGATGGCTCAGTGGTTAAGAGGAACTCCAGGTCCCGAGGATCTAGTGCCCTCTTATTGTGTCCTCAGGCACCAGGCATGAAAGTGGTGCACAGACATACATGCACACAGAACACCCACACACATAAAGCAGGTGCCCAATAGTCCTTTGTGTTTGACTAGGGAACATATCTCATGCTCTTTTACACAAAACAAACAAACTAGTATTAATCAGAATTTGAGAACCTTAACTAGGATTAAAATTAAAATTAGCCAGAGAAGAAATCCTGAGATAAAGCCCAAAGGTTGACTACACAGGTGTCTTTTCCACAAACCCACAAACTCTTCATGTACACACGTCTGTTCATGAAAACACCATGGAGTCTAAAAACTGATAAAAGTTGCCTATCAGTTAAACCTGTCATGAGGGAAGGTGAGTCTACACAGGAACCATCAGGGAAGAACAGAACATGAGATTTACTTTAGCACAGCTATGCGGGCCCTCTCCTGGATGAAAAACCCACCCTTCATAAAATACAGTGAACTTTCTGCTGAGCAGGCACCAGGCACAAGTGCCAGGTGAAGAGGAGAAGGGAGGCCGCCAAGTAAACAAGAGGCTTTCCTCTACAGGGTACTCCTGCTAAGGAAGAGTCAGAGCGGGTCAGCAGGGTGCACTTACTTGCAATTTAACCAGGAAAGAAGAAAAGATGATACAAACAGGGTAAAGCCCAGCAAAAACTAAACCCTGAGCATCCCAGTCTGAGACCCTGCGGTTTCTCTTTGCTGAGATAAGAACTCTCTCAGGAGCACAAGGCTTTGTGGTACCTGACTGGAGTCATCACTAGCCGTATTTTCACTTCCCAACCCCTTCCTCCTTCCTTTTCATGCTCATGCAGGCCACCCACTCACACCGTGTGTCTTCTACACAGTGCCATTTCTGCCCCCTTAAAGGCCTTTTATTGATGATATACAAATCTGTCTTCAATCTAGAGGTGTCTGCTGGGAACCCAAACTATCATGTGACTGCAGTTCAGAACACTGCCCTAGTGTGTCCCAGACTTCCCAAGTTCAAATACTTGCCTAGACACCATGTTGTTTTCCCTGGCTCTTCTAGTTCAGTAAATGGCATTGGTTTCAATTCCTGAGGCCAAACTGGAAAGAGTAGACTCACCTCCCCTTTTACCTGTCCCTCCCCACCCCTCCTTGCTCCTCCCCAACGAGATCTGTAACCAAGTAGCATTGATGCTTCTTTTCTTGCTTTTCACAGAGCCACCATTTTTTGGGTTATAAGCTCTCTAGATTTTGTTACTTCTCATCTATAGTGTAACTATAACTTCCCAACTAATCCCTTGTCGCTGCCAAAACCAATTATCTCGAAAAAACCTTTTTAAGCATATGGGGTTTGCTTGCATGTGTGTTTGTGTACCATGTGCTTTCTGGGTGTTCAGAGGCCAGAAAAGGGCATAGGATCACCTGGAACTGAAGTAACAGACAATTGGGAGCCACCATGTGTGCGCTGGAAGAACAGCCAGTGCTTTTAACCACTGAGCCATCTCTCCAGCCCCTATTCATCACCATATATTGTTCCTGAATAAAGCCCTCTAGGGCTCCTATGCTCTCACAGCATAGTCTAGCACCTTGAATTTGCCACGTGCATTTTCTGGCTTGATGAAAGAAAACAAACCAGGAGAGAAAGCCTACCTGTATGACAGCGGGACCCAGTCCAGCCTGCGGGGCAGTCACACTGATAAGGGGCCACACAGCGCCCACCATTCAAACAGGGAAGTATGCATATTGCTAAAAAAAAAGCAAAACAGGTAAAAATTTGTCAACAAAGGATTTTATCACAGTACCCATGTTCAGTTCTGCTCAAATGTTCAAAATCCTTTTTGCTGGAGGAGAAACTTTGAGTGGTTCACTTGGGGATCTCCCCATATATTGCCAGGAAAGCACAGCCAGGTGGAAGTCTGGTCCTCACTCAGGTAACTGTGGAGGCCTAAAGCACGGTTCCCTTGAGGGCACTCTGTCCCCAGTGTTTGCTAAGTGCTTTGCTTTCACTCTTTGCAACATAAGCAGAATGAACTCCATTTGTCACCATTTCAAATTCTTTTTAGGAATTGTGCAAAATGCTGTTAGAGGATAAGGCTGCCTCAGGTTTTCTTCTTGAACTACATGTGAGAATTGGAGATGGTTGGGTGATGGGGGAGGTCCTTCTGTGTATGTTTATCTTCTTATTGGTTGTTGAATAAAGTACTGTTGGCCAATGAAGAAGCAAGTTAGGCGGGACTAGGAGTCAAGGAGGGTTTTGGGAAATGTAGTAAAAGGAAGTCCTGTGATACAGGCAGGAAGTGACATAGCAGGCAAACTCATACATAAGCAAGGGCAAGAAGGAAGTCGCTCCTTTCTCTCTTCCTCCTAGTCTCTGCTCTGGAGTCACCATGTGAGCCAGGAAGACAGATGCTTCCACTGATGTCCAATAAGATAAGTCTTATAAAATATATAGATTTATGATAATTAAGACTGAGCTAACAGATGAGAAATCCTAGTCATTGGCCAAGCAGCATTTGTACCTAATATAAGTCTCTCTGTGTTACTTGGGACCATAATGTGGTGGTGGGTGGAACTTGGGCAGCCTGGTGGGAAGCGCCCTTATGACAGCAGGACTCAGGCGGCTTGGCAGGAAGACTTATTGTTACAGTTGGGCTGTACTGTAGACTCATGTTTGTAGTAATAGAACAACTCACTCTTTATTTCCTAGGAATGAGACCTGATGGTTACAGTGTCAGGCGTTCCCCTGCACCCTTCATAGCAATCACTCCCTCTGGAATAGGCAGAGGATGTTTCAAGTATGTGAGATCATTGCCTTGCACGAACTAGGGACTGGACAGAAGCACGGACTCTCAGGTCCAGTCTCTGGTCAACTGTATCTTAAAGTCTCTGCAAGATGTCTTCTATGCAAATTGAAGTCTGTCATGCCCCAGCTTTATGCAGAAGAGCAGGCATATGCTCAGCAAGCTAAGCTAGCTAACCCTGGCCTGCAGATGGGGTACCCCAGTATCTTTGAACCCTCAGTATTGTGGCATTGAAGCCTGGGAGCCAGCCTCATATGAAAAGGAATGAAGATAGGAAGGAAAAATATGTGGCAATTTTTTTCTTAGCTATTGTGAAAAATACTTGATTTGATTAATTGATAACAGTCATTGTTCATTTTCCTTTAAAAAAAAAAACAGTTGAAAAGGTCACATTGAGTAAGTTTTAAAGTTGGCTTTGCATTTAGCAGGGAAAGAATCCAACTGGTCTAACTTGATTGCTGTCACACCAGTGACCCAGCATGGCCTATCCATACAGGAAACTGTCTTATTCTTACACATGAGGACATTGAAATAGTAAACGTTAGACATTAAAAATTTAAAACAACTTAGTGAGGGCCACTGAGACAGCTCAGTAGGTAAAAACACTTGCTGAGTAAAGCTGATGACCTGAGTTTGACCCTCAGGACTCCTGGTGGAAGGAGAGAACGAACTCCTGATAGTTGACCTCTGATCTCCATGCATACTCTATGGCACATGCATGAACACAAATAAAAATGTTCAAAGTAGTTATTTATGTGCTGTTGATAAACTAAGCATATTTGAAGTAAGGATATAAAAATTCTGTTAATTTATTAAGTATTGTATAGATTAGGACTTCTGAATTCTCCTAATTTTTTAAATTAGGAGTGACTTTCTCATGACCAAGAGCCATGGTGGTTTCATGAGTTCCTGAAAGGCATAATGCTCTGTAATGCCACACAGTTATTCCAACTGCAGCAAAGGCTGGGCTAATTATCACTGAACTGAGTGCTGCTGCATGATACCAAGCCCCTTCCTAATGAGACTGGTGCTGAGTGCCTGGAGACATGGGCCCCTTTAGATGGGCAACTGCATGCTCAAAGTGATAGATATTGTAGCTAGATCTTCTGCAGCCTAGTGATCTATGAGAGTAGCCCTGTACACTCAGGTCTGCAGCAAGGATTTGAGGCGATCAATTCCACAGGGCAGGGAAGGCACATTTGAGGAACTATCGTAAGCCAGCAGTATCTCAGCAAATGATGGGACGTGAAGGAATGTTTAAGGACAGACTCACGCTCTTCACAGAGACGCCCCATCCAGCCATCTGGGCAGGAGCAAGCATTTGGACGTTGGCAGACACCTCCATTCTGACATGGGAACCGACAGACAGCTGGAAAGAAAACCAGGTGATTTATAATTCCAGGGAATTCTGCAGAGTTGATACTCGAGAACAGGATTTCTCATTCACAATTCATAAACGATGCAGGCTTTAGAGAAGAGAAATATAATAAAACACCAAGAATATGAGGAGAGGCACAAATTGTTGACTGTTACCAAGACACTTGCCCCCATCTTTATGGAGGTGAAATAGACAAATGCAAACTGTATTGACAACTTAGAACTTGATAGTTTGTTTTATGCATATATTATAAAACATGCACAATCAAGCTAATTACTATTTGTTAGCACACATAATTACATTTCTTTCTCCCCAGCTTCCTTCCTTCCTCTTCTTTCTTTCCTTCTCTCCCTTCCTCCCTCCCTCTCTTCGTGCCTCTCTCCCTCCCTCCACTCCCCTGCAAATTCCAAATCTATAATACTGTTAACTGCAGTGGAAATGCATCAGCTCTTCAGAATGTGTTCATCTCAACTAACTGAAATTTTATATTCTTTGGCTAATATCTATGCTTCTTCCCTCAGGGCCCGAACCACCACTGCGATCCACAACTCTCATTCTGACCACTTTAGACTGCACGTTTAGTAACAGAGTTCTTGATTTTTTAGCAAATGCTTTTATACTGAATGAAACAACTGTGATTTCAAAAGCCATTCAGATGTTGTTAGGAAAGTACCATCCTTGGAGGAGTGTACTCTGAGACCTTTTTACCCTTTTCCATTTTGAAGAAATGAGAAGGTTTGCAAAAAAGTAAATTAGCAAGTTATGGAAAATGATGCAGCTGTTAAGCCAAATTTAAAGCCAAGGAAAATCAAAGAGATGTGCATACCAATTGTTGGTCATATTGACCTCTGTATGCATTACCCTGCAACTTCACATGGAAATGCTCACTCCAATATTCCCTTACCTCTGCAAATAGGAGACGATGTCCATGTTCCATTTTCTAGGCATACACTCCTCAGGGAACCTTCTAGCATGTACCCACTGTAACAGGAGTAGGTGATCATGTCCCCATATTGGTAATGGACACCTCGAACAATCGCATTTTCCACATGAGTTGGAGGACCACATGAAATTTCTATAGGAGGACATAAATAATAATTGAGTCAGTCCAACTAGCCAAGATTGGGAGCACAGCCTTACCATGAAGACCGAAGTCAATTTAAGGATCATAGATAAAATACATACATGAAATATTTTCGCCCATAGAATGTCTAGAATACTAGGAACCTAAAGAATAATCTGCTGTTTTAGTCAAATTAGATTACAATACCACAGGGTCTTTGTCCTGTGATTTAAATGTCCAGACTGAGCTGTTTGAAACTCAAGGAAAGACAGAGAACAAGGATAAGCTAGCTCTCAGACCACGCCAAAGAGTCAGCTGCCAGAGAAGGTGGATACAGAATACTTATCAGGTGAGCACAGGGCAAAAAGGAGTGATAGCCTACCATTTCAGAGGAAGAATCATGGATTACAAAATTTTTTGTTGTTGCCTAGAACAGCACCTGCAGCCCAATGAAAGCTCAGTATGCATTTAGAAAATGAATGGATGCCAACAATAGCTTGTGGCCAAGTTTTATGAAATTCAAAACCCCTTCTTGATACTGGAAAGCATCTTTGGGAATCTGTATTAGATTGAGCAACCAGCCTGTTTTCAAGGGTATGCGTGCTGTATATTTAGGTCAAGATTATTACAGCTGTTTTTGTTTGAAGATTTTTATAAGATGTCTCAAGATAATTCTGGGTTGCATTGAGGCCTGGGCTGAACTCAGTATTCTGCTATGAATCTAGTTTGTGCAAATCTAACATGTGCTCAGACCATGTGACATGCTTACAAAAGGTCATTTTGTTACCATGTTATTGTTAAGATTTGGTAGAGGAAATAATAAATTTGTGTGATGTTTCTACATTTTCTTTTCCTCCTAGGCTAGATGAAATGCCTAGGATGTAGCAGCGACTGGGGAGAAATAAATGCCATGTTTCATTCAGATAGGTAGGGAGGGACAGACACATGGTATGATAAGCCTCCTGTGAGCTGTGTTGTAAGAATAGATTCCACGCCGTAAGAACACTGGGTAAATATAACCGTACTTAGAGCTGTCAGGTATGAACCACAGGGAAGTGGCATTTGCATGTACTAGAGAATGCCGATGAGTCAGAGGGGGAAGGTTTCTAAGATGGCAACAGCCTATAGAAAGATCACAGATGGTTGCCTATAGCAGTTTGATAAGCAAAGCGCGGGTTTCAGATCACCTGTACAGGAATCATCTGGGGTGTTAAATACACAGTTCTGGGGGTTTCTGCCTTGGAACCTTGCATTTTACATACCCACCCTGGGTGATTCTCCTGTGCATTAAATTTTAATCTCTGATCTGCAGGGATTAATAGGAGAAGCAGGTAGTCAGGAGGGAGGTTGTTGCCTAGACAAGGGAAGGAAGTGTGGCTTTAATCCAAAGACTTCCTGGCTGATAGAAAATGAGAAAGAGGCTGAAGGATTAACAAGCATGGAAACCGTCTCCTCTCCAAGGCAACTTGTGGCCCACTCTAGAATACCGGACGTCATCAGGCATGCACAGAAGGAGCATTTGTAACAAACACACGTCTCTTCCTGCTCTTACTTCCAGTGGTATGAATGGCAAGCATCAGGGAGCCAAGAGCCAAGGTGAAGATGTGTGGGCAGAATGAGGCCACTTGGCCTGATTCCCTGCAGGCAGGTGGCTTTAAACCAGACCAGAAGGCCAAAGAGAAATCTAATGTACACTCTGTTATTTCTTTTCCTTTTATTAGGGGTAGCTTTCTTAAGTGTCTGGGAACCAAAATCCTAGCTGAAAATATAGTGTGGAATTTTCTGGCTTTTTAAAAACACAGTCTAATGCTGCAGTAGGCTGGCTGTTAGCTAAAAATTCTGGAGTTGGGGACATCAAGTTACTGGGCACCTCTTCCCATATACAGAAACTGCTGATAAAGCATACACCGACTGACTTCTAGAAAACAAACCCATGAGATAAGTTGTATCATAACTATGAACAAATGAGAAGACTGAAAGAATGCTAAGGCATAAATGAAGGTTTAAAGTTAAAATTTTGGAGGTTAAAATTCAAATCTAGTCTTCATGTGCACATGTCTTGTTTCATTAATTGGAGTACAACTATTTTGAATATGTTAGGTAGCCTAGTGCCTTGCATGTGGTTAGACCCAATGAACATTTTTATTGACTGCTGTTGACAGAGTAGCTTGGGGGAACAAGGGAGACAAGAGGTAGGATGTTGGATGGGGAGATGTTTAAAGTGAAATCATAGTCAGCAGGAAAAGTCTCTAGATTGCAGAAGGCAGTATTGCAACATGGATGGATTAACATGGTGCTGGGCCAGAAATTCTCAAGTTACAGATCCTGGACCAGCAGTATTCCTCTGCATACTCATCACTATGAACAAAATACCTGTCAGGAATGGCCTAAGAGATGACAGGCTTATCTTGACCCATGGTTCCATATAGTTCAATCCATGGTTGTTAGGCTCCTGAGCTTGGACAGAACATTTTGACCATGGAACCATGTGGCAAAGGTGATTCTTCACCTCATAGCAGTTGAGAGTAAGAGAGGGACTGGGAACAAGGTCCTGTCCCAGTGACCTACTTCCTCCAGTGAGCACTTCTCAAAATTCTGCCATTAGCAGGGGACTAAGCATGCAAAACACAAGTAAATGAGGAACATTTCATATTCAAGCCATAACAATCTCCATAAGTGATACCCAGGAACTGTTAGAAACTGATGTTACTGGCCTCATCCAAAAACACAGAATCAGAAACTGGGGAGTGAAGCCCAGCTGTCTGTGTTCTAGTGAGTTCTGGAACGTCCCCTGAAGCATGCTCAAGGGTGTGATCCATCTCAGGGTAATTTTTGTTTGTACAAAGCACTCATGGCCCATTAAAGGATAAAGTACCAAGACTTGGTGATGTGGAGGAAATTGTGTATTTTAAGCTTAGTGTCATGCTATATCTCAGAAGAGCACATTTTGACAAATCTACTCAGTGACTCCTAATCAGGGAGGTTTTAGTTTGATCTGGAAAATTCATTTTTTAAAAAATTTCAGTATTCAAATATAATATTTTTGTTTAAAAAACGCCAATGAGGAAGATAACTAAATGGGTGCAGTGATCTAACTATGAACAATTAAGTTACTTCATTGAAAATAATTTCACAGGACTAGAGAGATGGCTCAGAGGTTGTGAGCGTCTACTGCTCTTGCAGACCCAGGTTCAGTTCTCAATGCCTGCGTGGTGACTCACAATTATCTCTAACTCCAATTGCAGGGGATCTGAAATGCCTTCTTAGGCACCAGATACACGCACACGGTGCACATACATATATGCAGGCAAACCACACATACACATAAAAATAAACAAATATTTAAAAACATTATTGTAAACAGAATCAAGCATTAATTAAAACAAAATCACCTTCCCCAAACTTTACAAGGCCAGAAAGATGGCTCAGCAAATAAAAGTACTTGCAAAGCATATATGACAATCTGATTTGGATCCTTCCGACCTGATTGTCCAATGACCTCCACCTCTACATGTATGCTGTAAGTTATACCTGCACTCTCTCTCTCTTCTCTCTCTCTCTCTCTCTCTCTCTCTCTCTCTCTCTCTCTCTCTCTCTCTCTCTCTCTCCCTTCCCACCCCACACCAATAGTAAATAAAATACACATTTTTTAAAAAAGGAAAAAAAAATCTCAGAAATAAGGAAGCCCTTCCACACTAATGACCTCACTGGGCTCTGCCCGTTGACTCACTTTCACATTTGGCGTTTGTCTGTGTCCATGTCTCATCAGGGTTGCAGGTGATGATGCCATCGCCTTTAAGCAGGAAGCCTTGCCTGCACTTGATAGACACATTCTGGTCGACATAAAACTCCCTCTCTGAAAGCAGTGCGTTCTCAGGGATCACAAAAGGGACAGGGCAGGGATTTGCTGTAGAAAGGTGAGGCAGATGCTTACTTACTGAGACGTCTCCTTTTTCCCTAATTCATCTCTTTAAAGACAAAGAAGAAGCCCTTGGAACATGGATTCTCGGTGACAATAATAATAGGGATACTCTTAAAAATTTCAAACAACCTGGCCTCAAACTCAGGCTCCTCCTGACTCAGTCCATCATGCCCAGTGAAAGGTTTAACATTTTAGAACTTCAAACACTAAGCACATTTTAGCTTCACTCCACATGAAATTATTTGTGAAGATGAAAAACCAGGCATATAAGAAATCAAGGCCCACATTGATTATTCCTTCAGTACGTGATGAATGCCAGCAGCATGGTAAGTTCTGTGGAACTCCTTTCTTTTACTGAACATCCTTCAGAGAGGATGGAAGCAGAGAACCATCAGACATTTCTGTGTGAGTTTAGCCTAGAACTTCATGTTGAGCTTGTGGGCCTCATGAAAAAAATAGGACGCTTCTCCAGTTCTGAGGGAAACACAGGAGGTAGTGCTAGTGCCCAGCTTTGTTCAGAGCACATTGACACAGGCTTCAAGCTCTTCCAGCTTTTCTGATTTTAAGTGGGTGTAAAATAAGTTACACCAAGGTAGGGCTCTTCTTTATTCTAAAGGCTCCATCTGTGTACTACAATACATTAAACAAGAGCCAGAAGCCTTCTCAAGTTAGTTATATTTCATTTGTATTGTTTTCATGAAAGTGGTCAAATTATCTATATTTATCACATTTATGCTTTATATGAACATCAGACTTTAACCATATCTTCTTTATCCCCTTTCTTCCTGTCAACAGAATTCATAATATCTTCATTTCAAAATATTTTCACTAATTTGTATTTTCTCTAAATGCCTGAATTCATATTCAGCTCAGGGATCTGATAAAAGCTGATTCTTGAAGGAGGCTGTTATAACATAACACACGTAGAGTTTTACAATATCCCATAAACTTGGACTTAATGGCCACAGGTGGCCTTCCCTGGACCAATCTCACTTATCAGTGTTTCCCTTCATTTAAGATATGTGGGAAGCTAATTGTGAAGACAAATGTGATTAAAACAGCTCTTTAAGTCAACACACACGTTTGCAGAGGGGAATCAGGTGACTCCAAGTTCCATTTTCAGTGCAGTGTGCCTCAGAGGACCCTTCCAGGGTGTAGCCTCTGTGGCAGGAAAACAGCAGGCTGGGTCCAGATGTGGTGTTTTCCATGACAACCTTTCCATTCAGAAATTCAGCTGGAGCCTCACATCGGTTCTCTAAAAGGAAGAATAAAGCCTTGTATTAAATGCTTTCCCAAATGCCCTTTGCTTTTCTTGCTATAGTTGCTGGAGATACTTTGTAGTGTGTGTGTGTGTGTGTGTGTGTGTGTGTGTGTGTGTGTGTGTGTGTGTGTAAGAGAGGGAGAAATATAGAGAGAGTTGTACACACATACATGTGGAATATTATAGCACAAATAATGAAAACCCAGAGACAGATATTGGGGTTAAAGCTGAAGATCAGAGAAGCAAAGCAGCCAGACACTAGAGTGTTCTCACCTATACCCAAGGCTCAGATCAAAGGAGTGTTACTGTCTTCAGAGTGACTGCAGACTGACTGCAGACTCAGACCCTGAGTTCCTGTCTCCTGCCTTATATTCCTCTCTAGTGCTGGTATTAAAGGTGTGCACCACCACCACCAGGCCTCTACAGCTAACTAGTGTGGCTAGTTTTGCGCTCTGACCTTCAGGCAAACTTTATTTGTTAGATCATATACAAAATATCACCACAGAATATATATATATATGTATATATATATGTATATATATATGTATATGTATATATTAACATACACACATACATGCTTTCTTATGAATGAAATGCTTATGTATTTGCTAATAGTGATAGATGCAATGGGGGTTTAGATGAACTTGTACATGAAATAAAGGGATGTTATGGCTGTGAACTTACCATATGGTACTAGTTTTACTTTTATTTTTTGTATAACACTTGGTTTGTAAGACCAGATAAAAACACAGGATTCTCAGATAAATTTGAACGTCTTATAAATAACATACATTTTTTAAAGCATAAACATTTCTCAAACATTGTGTGGTATATATTTACATTAAAATTACTTTTCATCTGAAATTTAAATAGAAATGAGTATTATATATTTTTTCCTTCCAAACCCAGCAGCAATTCTGAGATGAGTTCAATAATAGTTAAAAGAAAGTGAGTCTCAGAAAAGCTAAATAATTTGGTCCAGGCTACACTGTTTATAAAGATCAAAAGTACACGGGTGATGACTCAGGTGGTTAAAGGCGGTGCACCCAAGCCTGGGAACTTGAGTTCAATCATCAGGCCCCATATGGTGGAAGGAGGACATCAATTCCTGAAAGCTGCCTTCTGACCTCCAGATGCACACTGTGGCTCAAGTACCTTACTTTTCCATACATACAAAATAATAAATAAACAAATAAGAAAGCAAATAAATGTTAAAAGGAGATCGAAAAGATAAACTTACTATGACACGAACTATGAAGATCAGGAAGAGAAAAACATGAGCACGGGGGAAATCAGAGCAGAAACCATTGTGTGTGCTTTAGCAAACAATCGTAGGTTGTATAAAAAATGGCATTGAATCTTTGAGAAATGTGACTGCTGGGAAAGTACTGGAGAAAGCAGGATCTAGAGTCTTAAAAACTGGGCTTGAGTGTGGCTTTGGTGGCGCACGCCTTTAATGCCAGCACTCGGGAGGCAGAGGCAGGCAGATCTCTGTGAGTTCGAGGCCAGCCTGGTCTCCAGAGTGAGTTCCAGGATAGGCTCCAAAGCTACACAGAGAAACCTTGTCTCGAAAGAAAAAAACAAACAAGCAAAACCAACAACAACAAAAAAACCTGGGCTTGAGTCCCTATTTTATGGAGTTAGAGAATGTTAAGACCAGTGATCTTCAATTTTAATTGCATGGTTGCTGGAAAGTTCTTGTGCCTGGAGTCATGTCTCAGGTTAAATGAATGAGGATTTCTGCATTACAGTTTGTAAAGTAGAGCGTCAAGCTTCTCCAACTGTGCAGTGCATGGATGTCAACTTAGGAATCTGGCACACACACATGCTGATTCAGTAGCATTGGGATGGACTCAAGCAAGGTGTGTGAAAACATTCTTCCCTCTGACTTTTTCCAAGCTCACAGTTCTGCGTTCTTGCTATTTTCCCACTATATTTAACTTTCTAGTAGATTACTCTCTCTTTATAAGCAGTCTGAACAAGTTTAACAGGATCCACATGGTTAGGGTTAGGGTTAGGGTTAGGGTTAGGGGTTAAGTTTAGGTGCCTCTGATGCTGCTAGTCTGTGGGTTGTACTATTGAGAAACACTGGTCAAGGCATCCTACTGATGAACATTGGCTTCCTTGAAATCTGATAACATATATGAACAAATTCAATAATTTTAAGTAATGTGAGGATTTACAGATAAGGCTCTCACTATGCTTCTATTCCCACAAATACTTGTGGCTTTGCATACATCTAAAATAGTGTATAATCACAGATATAAAAATATTAATAGTTTTCACTCTAAGTGGTGATATTAAAATATTTTCCTGATTTGTGTTGTCTGATTTCTTAAAATTAGTTTATACGACTAATAACTTAAAAATGATCACCCATCAACACCATGGAGGTTTCCAATGCCAGACATGTAGGATTCTTTGTCCCCACTCCTATTTCCTGCACATACTCTTTTTGAACATGAGCAGTTTAGATAGCATGCTACTGGGGTTGAGATAAGCAAGTTCAACACATATATAAAGTTGCATAAAACGCCTTTATGTAATGATGCCATGTATAATGAACATATGAAATGCAAAAATCGAGTGATATGTAAATAGAGAATGTTAAATGTTTGGGGATTTATTTCATATATTAAATAAATAAAATATACTTGAAGTTCAAAGAAACAAGCTATATTTAACAAATACATTTTTGTAACTTGAAATGGTGCTGAATATTTAAAAATGTTTTCAATATAATGCTTGCTCAAGTTTTTGAGAATAAAAAACCACTTTTCTTCATTGAATCACAACCATATAATATTCATTTACAGACTTAAGGTTCTTAGAGAAACAGTTATTTCATTCTCCTACCTCTTAAAATATGGCTGACACAAAGAGAAGAAATGGGGGACACAGATTAGCCCACACGTTGTCAGAGAAACTTGGCTGTTCTCATAAACTGAGTTCCTGCAACATTTTGCTCAATTGAGGGTATCTATTTGGCTGATGTCCCAATACCACTTAAAAATGATGTCATTAAGGGCCAGTTATTTCATCTACAAGCAACAGTTCTAAGCCTTTCATTTTACACATATTTTTGGAGAAAACACCACAAAAGTACAAATGAACACAAGTTCCAAAACAAACCATGTGTTGTTGCTGAAACAGCAATCTGATGTCACATTCCAGTTAATCTCTGACCCTTTGTTGGTTGGGGTCCTTGAGCAAAAGCCATTATGTGTTCTCTTGCAGTTTATGTGTTTATTTATTAAGGCACAAAATGGGTATATAAAGAAAATGGAGACACATTGTTATCTTGAGTCCTTAGCTCGATGTCTGAGACCCTTAGGTGCCACTTAACTCACCTGTGCATGTTGCCACCTGTCCACTCCACTGTCCGTTCTCCTGACAGACTCGTTCCCTGTTCCCCTGTGAAGCAGCAGAGAAGGGGCATGAACAGGACCTTAATTTCATAATAGAGAGACAAGAAAGACTGCGAAGCCATCTTAGCCATGGACTTGAGTAAGTTAGGGCTGGAATGCTGAATGGATATATTAAATGAATGTAGTGTAAAGTTTCGACTCTCAAAAACAGTTTCACCAAAATTCCTACCTGGCACAATCATGTGATAAAGGGGAACTCAGCCTTATCGTCTATTTTAAGTGACAGCTTACTATAACCTATAGCAAAGACTCAGGAAGAATGGGTCAGCAATATCACAGACACTTTTGTTTAGTATTTAAACTATTTTGAATTGCATTTATCTTTCAACACTTGATACATAAAACAAAGTATATGAGCTAATATATTAGTTTGAGGACTGAAATTTTTAACCATAGGACTTACCTATTGCACCTAAATTTATTAAGGGCGTGTGTATTTAAATTTTAAATAATCTGGGTAAAGTTTAAAATCTTCTTCTCCATCTTCTGAGATATCACTTTGTTGAACAATAATTTGCAAGTATCTGAATGTATTTTTTCAATATCCCATGCCTTTCAGGGCTATGTAGGCTGCTTGCCTCCTGTGGTATCGAAGGGACTAGTCTTTGATTCCTCAGTATAATTTTTTGTAGATCTTTGCTTTCTATTTTTCTACTATCTTTTGCCAGAACCACCTGTATCCCCAATTTGTATTATGTCCCTAATCAACCATGAAACAGTAACTAGTTAAAAGTTTATAACATTACATATTTAAAAGATCAGGTTTTAAGCTTCTCTGTCTCATGTGTGGTGTATATGGTGCATAAATAGCAGTCAGAGAGGCCAGAAGAGGACCTAGGTATTCTGCTCCATCCATCCGTCCATCCATCCATCCATCCATCCGTCCATCCATCTATGGATCTTGTCCGAGTTTGGCTGGCATTGGACAAACCCCAGGGATCCTTTAGTCTCCACTCTCCACATCACTGGGGTTACAGGCATGCACACACCTGCTTTTTAATGAGAGAGTATTGGTTTTTCAAACGAAGGTCCTCATGGTTGAGCAGTGAACACTCGTACTTGAACCATCTCTTCTGACTCCTTAGTAAGTCCTTAGGAGCTTTACTCAAGTGTGGACTTCAGCACATGGATTTTGTCACCTATTTGTTTTCTAATTTTATTTGTGCTTATGTTTGTTTCAGCACATGCCACATGTATATGGATGCTAATGGTGGCCAGAAGAGAGTGATAGATTGCCCGGAGCTGGATTTACAGGTGGTTGGGGGCCAGGTGACTTGCGTGCTGTGAACTGAATTTGTTCCTCTGGAGGAACAGCTGAGCCATCTCTCCAGCTCTGAATCTTGTTTTTAGTTGTGTTCTCAATCAGCAACAGCTAACAAGCAGCTCCTAGATGCTAATCCTTTACTCTTGTGTTTATCCTGATAGAATGATGTCCTTATTGTCCTCCTTCAAGGTATTTTTTTTCTTGAGCCTTGAATTTAATTATTGATAAATCTTCACTTGTAAAGATCTTTTGACTTTAATGAGATGGTCCTGTCCTAACTTTCCAAATCAAATCAAAGCAAAACACCCTGGTTCCATAGGTTTCACTGCTTTTTCTTAAAACACATTTTTATTATCTTCTTCTTAATAAAATAGTAACATTTCATTCATTGTAGAAAAATTGAAAACATAAAAGAAAAATAAAACTTCCACAGTTACTCATCCAAAGACAAATTTTAACCTTTGTGCTTTTTCTGTAGACAGAAAAATACCTTTCTTCCTTTTTCAATAGTTCCAAAGAACTAGAAAAATGCTCACTTACTTAGCTTATTAACCAGGTACTCACAGAGTATGCTGTACTCAAGCAGTTTAGTCAATGGTTTTGCATTTTCCCAGTGTCCTCAACATGTTCTCTTTCTGTAATGACTTGAATGACAAGTACTGTTTGATTATGTCAATTTTTATTCTAATATAATTCAAATAAGTTATCAGTAACTACTAACTTTAAAAAGTGAACAGCATCCACTCACTTGCTCTTCAGTACCTGGTAACATTTATCATGCATTTCACTTGCCTTGCACAACAGCATCTGCTAATAGTTCTAAGTCATCATTTTTTAGTACCATTATGAGTCTCCTTTCTGCTCATGCTGTTTGACACATGTCACTCTGTTGGGATGATCTGTATTGCCTATTGCTGCTCAACTGGCTTTTCAAACTTCATCCAGTTGGCACCATGTTTCCTTTAAAGATTTGTTTATATTTTTATGAGTGTGTGTGTGTTTTGCCTGCATATGTGTCTGAGCACCATGTGTGTGCATTGCCCAGAGAACAGAAAAGGGCATTGGAGTCCCTGAAATTGGAGCTACAGAGGGCTGTGAGCCACCATGTAGGTGTTGGGAATTGCACCCAGGTCCTCTGAAAGAGCAGCTGGTGCTTTTAACTGCTGAGCTATCTCTCCAGCCCCCTCCAGGTTCTCAGGTGATGAGGGTTTCCAGGCAGTCTTTTACATCTCTGGTATTTGTTATTTCTCCAAGTAGCTGGGCATAACTTTTTTGAAAAGATTCTCTGGTGATTTTAAAAGTTGGTTGGAATGAGAACAGTTATTAACAAACTTTCAGCTTTGTAGTTAAAAGCAGGCTGTTGCCCCCAACAGTTTAAGTTAAATTACAAAACTTCTTCAAATTTTGTGAGTTTGTGGTATATTTTGTTTACAAAAAAGTATGTATGTTTTCTTAAGACATTTCAAGATGAGTAATCTCATGTAAAGAATGCCCCAGTTTCAAAAACAGGAACCTTCTCAAGTCACAATTCATTATTAGGTTGCCACCATTCTTTTTGTGTTTATTTTCTTAACCTTTGAGGAAATAACTAAGAGCCACAGAGATCTGATTCCAGTTTTTATGGACCTCCCATGACAACTCTTTGATTATACACACACACACACACACACACACACACACACACACACACACAGGGCTGTGCCACACATATACAGCTGACTAATAATGAATACTTCAGGTAGAACTTTTTTTTAGACACCACTGCAAACACCAAGAGATTCCTGAAAAGCCAGGTGGCAACCTCTTGTGACTCACAGCAGCTCTCCTAGACAGTTGATGGTGAGATAATGCTTTCAGAGAAACTAACCTTAGTGCTCCCATTAAAGCTCACAGGGAAATGTAGGTGCAGCCCATGGGACTGTACTACTGCAATCAGGAGTCACTTAAGGATAAGGTTGGGGTTTGCTTAAGAGAGTTCTGAGGAGTTTCAGGCTAGCTACACCACAGGGGAACCTGGCATCTCAGGTAAGAGCTTGCCAGAGCCTGTGTTTTCACTGTTGGTTAAGTCTGGCTTTACTCAAGTGGCTGTACTATAGTGATGCATGGTGGGGACAGTTGGGAGTTGCCTTACAGGATACTGGGAGCCTAACTCAAGTCCTCCGCAGGAGCAGTAAGTGCTCTTAACTCATGAGCCACCTCTCCAGTCCCCATTGCTTTTTGAACTGGGGATTGAATTAGGACCCTGGATATGCCAGACAACCACTCTGCCCCAGCCACACCCTCCCTTTCTTTTATGTCTGTTTTGTGACAGAGCCTTGACAGTTGTTCTGGCAGGCTTGAACTAGTCACCTTCCTGTCTCTGCCTCTGAGTAGCTGAGATCACAGGTATGGGTCACTACACCTGGTTGATATTTTTTGTGTGTTTCAAAATTCTAAGTCATCTTAGCTGTTTTTCCAGAAATTATTAAGAGGATAAAGTAGTAAAATATAATAGGATGTTTTAGGAGCAGGGTTGGTAAAATTAATTTATTCAAATCATATCAGAACAGCACAATAACTTTTGTTAAATAATTTGCTACTGTACCTCTAATTCATAGCCAGCATCACATTGATAAACGATGGTGCTTCCAAAGCTGTATGTACTACCAACCACAAATCCATGCTCTGGACTTTCAGGATGCCCACAAAACACAGGGATGCAGGATTCATCAGAAAACGGTGGCTCCCATGTACCATCAGGCTAAAGAACAGACCAAAAATTGTAAGTCATATTTAGGAATTCATACATGAGCGTGTTATTTACATGACAGACTCATCCCCAAAGTGAGAGTCAGAAAGACCCAAGGTTTCCTGATGGGGGAAATACTTCTGTGTATGTTTATCTTATTGATTGTTAAATAAAGTACTTGCTTGGCCAATTAGACAGCAAGTTAGGCTAGACTAGGAGTCAAAGAGGATTCTGGGAAATGTAGTAGAGAAGTGGTGTTCCAGACAGAAAATGACATAGCAAGGAGACTCATATTTAAGAAGAGGAAAAAGGAAGTGTCACTCTCTTTTCCTGTTCCTGCTCCAGCGGCAGGATGTGATTCACCAGCAAGGAGGGACGCCAATAAGGCGTCCGATAAGATAAGTCTTATAAAATATATAGATGTATGATAATTGAGACTGAGCTAACAGATGAGAATCCTAGTCATTGGCCAAGCAGCTTTGTAACTAATACAAGTCTCTCTATGTATTCATTTGGGCCTAACTCGGGCGGGCAGCTGATGTAAAGCTCACATATGGCTGTGGGGCTTAGGCAGCTTTTGGCGGAAAGATTTATCGTAACAGTTTCCCCTAACTGCGTTGTTTGTTGTCTATCTGTAGTTCTTCAAAACACATTTATCATTAGGTTTGGCATATCACCGAACATTTGCTGACATTTCTGACATACATAAAATACTCTCTTTCTCCCAAATAGACCCATCTCATGAGGAAGTCTCCACTATAGCACAGTTAACTAAAGCGTGGAGTGGAGTACAGGACTTAGAGAGGGTCAGTGCAAACAGCCCACCATTTATCCTAGTGCACCCTGTATTTCATTTGATTTCCATGTCTTAATTTCAAGTTTCTGAGAAACAGCAGCATCGGGTGATGAGCTCTAAGTTTAAAGCATGGGTTTCCTGTGCTCAATATTTATATGACATTTATTTATGGTGTGTGTGTGTGTGTGTGTGTGTTTGGTGTCATCTGCTGTTCCTGCTCATAACTTTTTCTCCCAGGCAGACCATAAATGCCCAGATTTTTCCCCATCTGTCTTGGAGTGGTCCATGAACACATTGTAAGTCACACCTTGTCTGCCAGTAGGTTGTAAGGTTCCTGGTTTCGGAGGGGTCCTGGCCTGCACCTAGCAGGAAGGAGAGTTACCTGGAAAAGCCAGGGATACTCTTGGTTTCTGCACTTGGCTTCTCAGGATTAGAACACACCTCATTGTCAATCACATTTCTGCACAGTTGGCTTTACTGATTGTGACTGTGATAAAGTCTCTATAAATCCCCAAAGAATAGAGGTCAGAGACTGTCTAGACAACTGAGCACATGGAGGCTTTGTGCAATAGTAAATGACACTCATCCACACTCCAGGAGACACCTAAATGTGGCAGGGACCGGCAGAAGCTGCCACCTGCCAGACTTTTCTGATCCTTGCCTTATGTGTCTCTTCACCTGTTGCTTATTCATGTTTCTAAAAAGGCTCTTTCCAATGACCTCTTTTCTGAGTTCAGTGAGACACCTAGCAAATTACTGCATCCTGAGAAGCAGGTAGAGGGAACCCTGACTAGTTGTCAGTAGGTCAGATGAGATTCCAGAGGCTCAGGCTTACTCCTGGTGTCTGAAGTGAGCAGCCTTAGGAACTGAACCCTCAACCTGTGGCACATAGCACAACCTCCAGGTACAGAGTGTCAGAGTTGAACAGGGGCTCATAGCTAGCTAGCATCTGCAGCAGAACTGATTGCTTGGTGTGTGCATGGACAGCTGTGACGTAACTGGTGTTAGAAGGGTGCTGTTGGTAAAAGTCTGAAACAGTATCTGAGGTAAAACCCTTTAATATACATATAATACAGAACTGATTTTATAGCATATAAATATGCCCACTTTACAACCAATCATTCTCCAAGTGTATGGTGTTTGCACCCAGATTTTCAATATTTTAACTGACGCTTCAGCAAGCCAAAGTTTTGCACAAATAATTCTGAAAATTAGTGGAAAAATTTCAATCATTTAGACTGGCATATAAAACAGCGACTGTCATCATGGCCTCCTCACACAGTGTTACACTTTGCTTTCATTTGTTTCTCTCACCCTCCTCCTCCACCCCGGCTCCCCTCTTTTTGCCCTGTCTCAAGGTGGTTTCCTCTTTTTTTTCCCTGTCAGTTCCCTGTTTTGTTTGTTTGTTTTTTTTCTCTTTGGAAAAATTAAAACTACATTCTGTTGTGTGCTTTTGAAATAACTGTTATTTGTCTTTGATTATTTCAGTTTTCTCCATGATGGTTATTTAATTGTCAGAATAACTTATTAGTCACTCCTCACCTTGATTTCATCAGCATGGTCTACTTTTGGTTCACCCCCCCTCTTTTTTGCTTTTGCCCAATTTTCACTGATGGAAGTTTTGTAATTCTGTAATGTGTCATAATTTCTGAGAGGGCAGGGCTTACTCCAGTATTATTTTTTTAACAACTGTATTTACCTTATATACTAGTTCTATGACATGCAGAATAATTTTATTACTTTATAATAAAATATTTCTTGGTATTGAACACAGTTCCATGCAACTTCTGCATTGGAATACTTACAGTCAATTTAGCTTTCAGAGCAAAAATTAAAGCAGAACCCAGTTAGGTAAAGGGGAGAAGTCACATTTTGTATGGAGAAAGTGATAAAGGTTATAAAAAAATAACTACTGATTCAGAAAAGAGAACCTAGTCACTAGTGTCCTGGATCCCAGAGGGCACATGTGGGATGCCCCATAGCCCAATGTAGAGAACATCAGACTGGGTCTCTTCATCATGGCGAGACCCTATGTGTTTAGGAAGCTCAAAGTCTTGGAGAAAATTTCCCCTCACGATCTTGGGTTCTGAATAAAAAGGGACATATTTTGAGAGCCTGGCATCTTGTGTGGCATTGTACCTGCTCCATGTGATGGGTCTGCCTGTAGGCATGGAAGTAACCAATCATTGGGGATGCATGGTTTATAAATGGGAAATTAGGAGAAGAATAAAAAACTCTTGAGTCCCCACTATGTGTCAGGCATCTTCTGGATACTTATACACATCAAGTGATGTTACCCTTTCGATGAGCACAGACTTACAGATAAGAAACAAGCTGAAGGAATCATCAGGACTGAGGAACCTCTAAATGTGAGTGATGGCAATCTAGCCCACATGCTGACGGGAAGGGCAAGCCGGTGCTATGCTGTAGGCCTCCTCTTCCCATCACAACCTAACTCCAGTCAATGAAGGAACTCCAGTCAGTGTCTCATTTGAGTCTTGATGTGGAAGTTGGGAGAAGGGGCTGTTAGGAAGGCCTGCTAGCTGTGTGGCAATTCACATATTTAGCAAGGTGTTGCAGTTAGCAAACTATTCAACTATGCACAGAAAGTGCTTCATGGTAAACTAACCATAAATTTTATGCCAGAGTGTCTGTGTGCACAAACCAGCTGATGACTTTTGAAAGATCAAAGTTTGCAGAAGCTAGGCATTTCTTCCACCACTGATTCCATTTTCCACAACAGCTATATAAGATATGTGTTATTTTACACACTTGTTTTCAGATAAGGTGACCTTAAGTACAAATTTCCCCTCCCCCATCCTGAAGCCCAGGCTGTCCTCAAACTCCCTATGTAACATCTACTCCTCAGGTCTTGCCCTCTAAGTGTTGCATTACAGGTGTGCATCGCCATACACAGTTTCATGGGATATGGAGATAAACCCTGGGGCCTCAGGCGTCCTGGGCAAGCACCCTATCAATAGAGCTGTGTCCCTTCCCCAACCCTATTCCCTATTTCCCCATAGTCTTGTTCCATAGCCCAGACAGGTCTGGTGATCTTCTTGCCTCTGCCTACCGAATGCTACATTATAGAATGGGCTACCAGGCTCAGCTTAAGTGATTTCTAAAGTAAATAAACAATGAACTGTGGAGGCAGGATTTGACCACTGTTTTCTGTCTGCTTGTGCAGCTTTCAGGCCTTCCACTGAGACAACCACCAATGGCTATGAATATCTCATTATTTTTGCTTTTAAACATGTTCCCTAACATTGGCTCTTTCTTATTTTAAAACTGGTAATATTAGGAGGAAAACAAGCTCTACTTCTTTTTCCCTGTTTGTTAAAAATTTTTATTTTATATGTGCAAGTGTTTTGTCTGCACGTTTTTCTGTCACACGGGCATCAGATCCCCTGATCTGGAGTTACAGACAGTTGTAAGCTACCACGTGGGTGCTGGGAACCAAATGCAGGTCCTCTGGAGGAGCTACCGGTGCTTTTAACTATATAGCCATCTCCCCAGCTCCACATTTCTGAGAAAAGACTCAATTCTTTGGATGCAAATGAAAGTTGAAGCATTTGCTTTTCTTTCTCGGCCAGCACGATGTTGCAGATGCCACAGTTACATTTGTCTGTCCCCATTTAGACACAGTATCTTACCTGGCATGTTGACGAATCCACTCCTTCGTAGGTAAACCCTTCTGCACAGGACACAGAAACTTGTTTATTCACCCGGAAGTCGTCTCCATGAACACGCATGCGTGTTGTGTTTGATGGCACAGGACATTTTCTAGGACTGCAGGAGATTCTTTCAGGAAACCAATGACCATCTTGCTGGCAGGTGAACGTATCTGTATCTGTATCTATCACATATCCTTCCAGACACCTGCAATGCAGATGAGAAAATGAACACCTGCCTAAAGCAGCACTCTGTACCTGACGTACGCTGAGATTAAAGGAGCCGTCATGCCGGGTGTTGGTGGCGCACACCTTTAATCCCAGCACTCGGGAGGCAGAGGCAGG